CCAGCGGTTTAGTGAACACTTCTGCAAGTTATCATGGTTGTTTTTATTACCCTAAAAATGCACCTCTTACAAAAAAAACTTCCGATGCCGGTTGGTCGCTTCAAACACCGGAGTGCAGTTACATCAAACAAGAACCTTCGCTCAGACTACAGCAGTCAAAGCTCTACAAATTTCCACTAACTTGGATATTATGATAAAAAAACAAATTGTTAACTCTTTAACGGAAGTCAACAGCGCCAAATTCCAAGATCGATAAGCGACTTATTTTCAAAATTAAACAACGGACAAGGATTAAAAAAATTAATAAAAAATAATAAAAAACTTTTCAAAGTACTTTTCTAGAACGCTAACGAGTTCTGGGGCTAAAAACAAGAACTACAAGAATTAATTGAAAGAATGGATATCGACCTTGCACTAATATCTTAAACTCGTCTGAAGACTGGTAATAGGTTTTGCATTCCACTTACACAACTTATCAAAAGGGCCATTGTCATATGGGGGGAGGAGGTGTAGCCATTCTTATAAAAAAGACATTAGGCACTTCTTTATGTAATATCTTGAACTACACAATATAGAAGCCACTGACATCCGGACTAAACTTAGATATGCTGGTTCTATAAACATTTTATCTACTTAAACCTCTGAATGAGAAATCTGAAAGTAAAAGATTTGGACATGCTGTTTGACGATGCCCATTCAGTCATTGTTTGTGGAAATAAATTGTAACATCCATCATGGTACAGCAGAGTCAATTATCCTAAAGGTAAAATACTAGAACTGTGGGCAGAAGAAAATGATACGTTAGTATTAGTCCCTTTTGAATCTATACATCTGTCAACTCGAAGCTCGGTAGATGTGCTAGATATAGCCCCTTCAAAAAACGTACGTGTACCTGTATCTGCTAAAACCCTCTACGAGTTGTCTTCTTACCATTTCCCTGTTCTGCTGAAAGTTGATGATTTTTTGGATTCAACTAAAAAATTTGGAAAAATTAATGATTGAACCCTTTCTAAAAAATCCGTAAGCAAAGTCTTACCTCCCTTCCCATGTCCATGTTACTTCGAGATTAACAGAGCCACCTCTATCTTTGAAGACTTTGATATAACTATTTTAAAGTACGCAACCATCCTTAAACTCTATCAAAACTTTAAGCTTAATGTCCTGTTCATAATAAAGAACTTATCGTTGAAAGACGCCGTTTCAAGAGACAATGTAGAACGGCAACCCCTTAGCGATACATTGGCTTTTAAAAAGATAAGTAAGCTTGTTAAACGAGAATTGCGAGCTTTTCAATCATGACATAGAACAAAAAATTGCAATCCGTAACACCTACCGTTAAAACTTTGTAGAAAATGACAAATTTTTAAACCTGAAAAACAAAGGTTTGAGATCCCTATATTCAAAAACGGGTAAGCTATCTACGCAAACTCCGAAAAAGTCAATTTTTTTCTGAAATTTTATACGGACAAGTTAGGACACCATTGTCAGTGGACAGAGAACACGAAGCACACAAACATAAGCAAATTTCAATTTTTTTTTCATCGTAGGGGACTGCTCACTTTGGAGGTCTTTACTAATGTAGGTGAGATATGTTCTATAATCGACAAACTCAACGCTAGGAAGTGTGTGAGTGCTTAAAAACCTTCTTATAACCGCAATTAATTACATTACAGAGCCCATTAACTCGATTATTACCCAAATTTATTTTTCTTTATGGAAGCAAGCTGAAGTTGTTTTTATATCGAAAACATCTCGTCCAGGCAACTACGCTAGAGATTATCGCCCTATTAATTTACTTTCCTGCTTAGGAAAAGTTGCAAAAGAGGGTTTCGTTTGAGATTGCAAAAATTTGCTGGTGATGAAGGCCTTATTCCAGTTTATCAATTTGGTTTTTTAAAGATGCCACTCTACCACTCAACAAATTCTAAGGTTGGTGGAAAACACAACTAATTCGTTAATAATAAATTCACTTTTATGTTTTTTTAGACATAAGAAGGCTTTTGACAAGGTATGGCGTAAGGTTTCATATATAAAATGATCAATTGTGCATTAGCCGCGTACTTCATACGATCATAGAACCATACCTCAGCAGTAGATTTATCATGGTCTTTGCAGGAACAGAACTATCAGATTCCAAACTACTTAACGCTGGGGCCTCCTGGGAGTCCTTATTGTCTCCTATTTCTTTCTCATATACGTGTCTGACATTCCCCTCCCTACCCATTAAACTTCCTCGGCGTTGTATGCCGAGGACAATGTTATCTACAGCAGCTTAAAATCTCCGCTCTTGTAATTAAATATATGCAATCCTATCTTAACTTATTTGAAGATTGGTAACAACGTGGAAAGTAACCGTTAACTTTTAAAAAGTCACGCCATGCTTATCTCGAAAATAAAAAAAGAAAAGGATACATCAAGACATTTCTTTTTCAAATTCTCCTCGCCTGGAAAAAACAACTCAAATACTTTGGTGTTATCACTAATAACTTAATTAAAGAGCCCACATTGAATATTTGATTTAAAAAATTTACGGGACTCTTTATATCCGCTTATACGAAAAAATAGTGCCCTTAACCTTGATAACAAATTAGTTATTTACAAAGCTATTTTAAGGCCATTGGTGGTTATGCAACAGTATCTTGAGCCTATTCCTCGACCTCCAACATAGACTGCAACTTAGGCAAAATATATGTTATGGGAGCTTCTTGGTATATGAGACTCTCCCAAATTACATCGTTAATGCGAACTGGAACCATTTTTGTTTGCTAAGAGCTTAGCTGAGGACTGCATAAAAACAGCTGAAAATCATTATAATAGAATACTAGCTAATTCCCCCTTCTCACTTTCCCAAATATAGACGACCGAAACAGCTTACTATTTCAGTAATAACTTTAAATGCAAAATTTATGCTGAAAAATAATACAATTCTGATATAATAGTAGTAGACAAATAGTAATAATATTATTAATAATATTAATTAGTAATAATGTATATCGATAATATTATCTATATCAGTAATATAATATTCGTAACGCCAGTAAAGGCTTCCTCACATGATTTGAATCCGGGAAAAAAAAGTATCCTTACTAAATAATTATTTGTTTTGGCAGTTTGAATTAAAATTAGACATGACTTTTAAAAGCAGCATCTCTGCAGTGAGAGAACCCTTTTGAAACTTCTCACTTGGGGGAGTGTAGATTAAGCAGTTTAAGTTATTTACTTATAAGGGCTGTAGCATGTCAGTGCAATAAATAATTAAATAAAAGATTTATCCAGTTGTGCTAATTACGGTGAAGCCCACATTGCCAAGCATCGTGACTGCAAACAATACCGCGAAGCCCTACCCCATCTAATTTAACCTGCTCTATACCAACGCTCCAAAAACAAACCTCCTCTTATGTAACTCCGACAATTTCTTATACCGTTCGCTTAACCACAAACCCCCTCACTACCGCAACCAACACTACGTCAACCGCACTCAACGATAAACCAGTTAACAATATTCTAAAAGGTTAAGAGTCTGGATCCCTTTGCGATGACTGCTTCGTCCTTTCCGCCTACTTTCAGGACGCGGATGGCATTCTACATAAAAACAATATTCGCAAGAATTGAGGTAACGCGAAAGAATTGATCTGTGTTATTAGCGAGGTTTATCTTCCCAGCGATCCATTAAAATTTCTGCCACTTTTTGACGTACTTCCAGGATCGCCCTGATAGAGGTGGAGTAGGCGCAGCTAATTTGCTCAGACAAAACACATTTAACAGTGTCATCTTTGCCAGCCTTGCAAAGCATTGAGGTGGTTGAAATTCCGTTCCCCAGCAAACTAGGGGACATTAGAAAACACTCGAGTGGAAATAGCACACCTTAAACACCAATTAACTCCGACGATTAATCCGACAAGGACGACATAAAGTTTTCGGAAAACTCTTCTAAGAGGAATGGCGAATGGGAAAAAAATTGATAACGACAGTGACCAGGGTTGTAAAAAAAAAGTCTATTTGATCTTATTAAGATTAATTTAGGGGAAATTTTCTATTAATCCCAAGTCCGACGGTGAGCTAAATGCCACTAGAAAAGAAAGTAACTGCAGAGGCCTTAGTGGTACTAAGTTTGGCTTAATGAGTGCAAGTCCAACTTGATCGCAATGGCCACCATAATTGGTATAGTGGTAAACTAACAAAAGTCAAGAGAGAAAGGTTTAAATTACCTTCGATGATGGAGAAGTTGTAAACGGTGTGCGGGATTACGAGGTGCGACCTCTTGTCATGGCCGTGCATGAAGAAGGCGCTTATTCAATCCCCAAAAATGCTCATGAAGTACCGAAAGATTAAAATGGTTCAGGACTAGGAAAGAAGAATTATCTTTAAAAGATAAAAACACTTGGGACTTAGGCCCCATAGAAAAAGTCATGCAGTTCAAAGACGCTTCATGGTCATTTAGGCTTAGAGAAAATGGTTCCTTAAGGCATCTGTTTGCTGTAAAGGTCTCACGCAATTTTATTCATGGAAATAACACGTTGCTCGTGTCCTCTCGTTTCGAGGGAAACCACGAGATTGTTAATTGTTAACGGCGCGCCTCCTCAAGTTGCACCAACGGCTTTGACTTTAACAATGGATAACTCAACACCTCCATCGAGGTTAAAATTATAAACTAAAATACCCGTTGGCTTCATCTAATCAATAGTAGTAATTCGAAGGCTAATGCCTAACCCTTTATAAGGCATTGTACGGCACCAAACAAGGAAGGCATAAGTGGTATGAACTTATAACAAAAAAATTAAAGGTAGGATTTTAGCATTTAGGCCGAAGTCATCTGTCCTTCATATTAACGACTAACACCCCAATATCGCTACCCTATTTTTTACGTAGAGGACCTCCGCATCCTTACAAGCGATGTTAATAAGTCAAGGGGCGTGCTCAACACCGTTTAATTCGAGTATAAAGAAGTCACACCTAATTTCTTAGTGGGTCTTAGTACTACAGAACATGACGAGAAGACAATGTTCGCTCAAGAGGATATGTTTTCTAATATATTTCAGGAAGGACAAAGCGTTATAGGTTTGTCCTCCGTGGAGCCGAATAGCAGATATATTTACAGATGTTTTCTGTGAAAAAAAATTTATAAAATCCGGGACACGGTGGTGGAAACCCCGCTTGCTCTGGGAACGCGGAATCGGGGGTATGTTTTAAGGATTCCTCGATAAGCATTACTAGAGGCTTAAAACTCCATGGGCCTTGTCAGTTCCTAGATTTAACTCATTATCTGTACATATACTAATATTTTTAACGGGTGCGATAAAGATGCATTTAATTTTAGGACACTAATATGAAAGGGACATGGTTTTATGTCAGACTGTTTAAACCAATTAAAATTAATTTTTGGTTAATTAGATCAAACCAATGTTTGCCGACTTGCTTTGACCCGTACAGTGCCTTGTTTGGTAATAGGCATTTGTCCGGGGGATTGTCTTTATGTATTAAATGAAAGCCAATGGGTATTTTACCGTTAAATTTACGTCTAAGTTTTTATTTGTATAGGCATATTTTAAATCAAACAGTAGTTGTTGAAGGTTGTGTTGATGCGCTAGTATGATAAGACGTCTAATAGCTTTCTTGGATATCACTGGGCTTGTAGATTCATAATAATTTAGCCCCAGATATCTGATTTAACCTTTTTAACAAACCGCTTTTTATAAGTCCCATCATCTTTGGTTAAAAAAACCCAAGTAGTACCTTTTAAGTCGTTCCTTTCGTGGTCAAGTATTTTATCATGTCTCCATTAATTCCAAGGATCCAAGCACTTTCCTCATTTCAGGGAACAGGCCTTTATTTTTTAGCACTTCTAAAGTATTACTTAAAAAATAAGGTCCGTTTTGGTATACTGGCATTGCTTTTCGTTTCATCTCTTTATCCCTAATATCGTTAACATTCTTTTCCATCGTCGAAAGTGACACCGGAAAGTCCTTTACACCACTTCGGTTTACTTTAACTTCAAATCCTACTTCTACTCTTTGATTTTCATTATAGCTGTCGTTATTACATTAGCTATAAAACCTTCGCCTCGCTCTTTTCGGTCCTTTTCTTATTGGTTTCTTCAGCGTCGTTACTTATCTCTTCCTTACTAGGTTTCGCCTCATTGGTAGCTTCATTATCATCACCTTCTGTTTTCACTTGTCTTATAAATGTCAGAATCTTCGGCCCAAGTTCTGTTATTTCAATTAATAATTTTTTCTTTGAATACTTACAAATACTTATCCGCCTCTCTAAAGTTTCTGCTGCTATTAATCGTTTAGTGATAAAGCAATAAATGCAGTAAGGATTCCCACACGCACTGATACTAATAGAATTACTTTACTGCCATTACTAGATAGTTGCCTGGCTGAGGGTTATAAAAGGTATACAGTAACTTCAAACATTTTTAACTTGTTTAAGTTTTTACATCCACGCCGTAATATCCTTTACAGGCATGACCTCGTGCTATGGGGTTAGTAGCATGGTACATTGTCTCGACCAAAAATTAAATAACTAGGCCGGTCTCTTAACCTCTAAATGTTGATACAGAATATATTTAAGGATAAACACATCGGATGGGTGTAGTGCGAGGTGTGCTGGGAGCTGTGGAAGCGAGGTCTATGCATCTATCTTTGCATTCGTGTCCAATTCTGTTATATAAATTCTCCACCATTGTTCTTATAAACATTCTCTATATCGTATCGGTTTCTTAAAATGTTTGTCCAAGAATTCTCCCATTTTAGCGTAAGCCTCGGCTTTATGTCCAAAAAAAAAACCCAAACACAACGAGTACGTACGTTTACACACGATAGTGAGGGCCCTTTATGTTATAAGTGAAATAGGGCGAGATCCGTGGATATCCATAACACAGGTGTGGGGAATAAATTTTTTTTTTTAGTTTTCTGAATATTTGCTTCCAAACAGGTATTACATGAAAAGTTATCGCTAACTTAACATAGATTTGAGGACCTTGAAAAGTTGTATGGATTCACGTGACCTAGGATGTTGTGCCAGTCCATCTCAGACTTAGACAGGTCCGTCAATTCTCTTATAACAATGCATACGCCAGCGTTCTCTTTCGGCGATAACCCTTGCTTTAAGGTTTGCTAATATCTTTAAGAATTCCTTGTATTCTGTTAGCAATCATGCTTTTTTCTTGTGGAATAAGATAATACTCCCTGTGTCGTATATTTCTTCCGCGTTAATATGGTTGTTAAAGCATTCGGGTATGATTAAAGCTTTTCCCCCGTTATAGGCGCCTTTTCATAGGAACATTATGCTACCTCTTTAGTGAATTTAAGGGTTCATGTCATTCTCTTGGCCCGAAATATGTGGCAACTTGCTTTAGAATCCAAGAATGCATTATTTAAAGGGTGTATTGGGTAATTATTCTTAGGTTATAGAGAGCCAGCAAGAATAATTCCTGGGGTTTTAAATTATCAAGGACGTTATACACTTGTGACTGTAACCAGAAAAATCAGGATTCTTTAACTTCCTTTACCTCTTGACGTGTTCTAAACTTCCACATATGTGACATACTTTATCCTTAAATAACACAAATTTTTAATAAGGTCAACTTTTTCGTATCTCTTACTAACGTTGATTTAATTTTATACTTCAAAACTTATTTCTTACTCCCCTAACTTCTTCAAGCCAGATAACCTTTTTTAATGCACTTCTGCATTAGCGTATTGCTTTAACCAGGCCACAAGAGTCAGGGCAGTTCAATTATGAAACGAACAACTATATGGACTTAGAAAAACAGTACCCAACAGTACGAGCTTTAAGTCGGTCAAGTTAGACAGGTAATTCAACTTAGAATTCTCTTACCACTATTCAGAAATATTAGAACTTTTGTTATTTATGTTGAATTATTATTAGATTAACGAGCAAAAATGTAAGCTGTCAAAATTAAACATAGATTATGAAATATATTTTTAATAATTATATATTTCTTATTTATCGCCAAAAGTTATAGAGGTTATTAGATTTACCCGGACAAAGCACATATGTTTTCAAAATCATTATTGTACAAAGCAGGTGTTGTCAAAACTAAAATCACCAAAACAGAGCTGGTGCAAAATATAATTAACATCCATGCATTAGTATAAGAGATAAATTAATATAAAAAATTGCCTTGTTTTATGAAAAAATTACAACTGTACTTCATGGTAAGTAAAGTTTACTTAGCAAATATGTAATAAATTGAATAATAACAGATTTTTTTTAACAGGGCAAATATAAAGTTCGTCACTAATCTAACTCCCCTAAAAATTAAAAAAATTTTAAAAGTTAAAACAAACACCTCAAGAGGGAGAAACAATCATAAAAACCAACACCGATATACAACAGTGTCACCTAGATAGTGGTTACATGGTTTTCAAATTTATTTGGTCATTGGAGTCTTAACGCAGTGCACTATGTTGTACTAGCTTCCGGCCTGGTTATAGAGACAAGTTCTACCGTTATTCGCATTCAGTGCGACTTGTTGATGACCGGTGAACCCAGCAGAAAAAAGTTTTCATAATACTCCTCTACCTTCTTGTTCTTTTCCTCCTCTTTAGGTTAATTTTTTTATTTAACTATAATCTATAGCTTGGTGCTTTTTCTCAAAGGAGCGGCACGTTTTTCTGGAGAAGTTGAAAACCGTGATCTTTATATTAGGGTTACGTAGATTTTTTTAGATTTTAAATTTTTTTTTTTATTAATTCACAGTTTTAAATTTTTATACACACTAATAAATTCCTATGTAGTACTTTGAAGAGAGAGGAGTTAAATCAATTGCTTTACCTCCACTTTCCTATTCTGTTGCCTACGAAAATGAATCTTTGCTTTATGAAGCCCTTAACAATGTTAACGCATACTCTGGTTTAATAGTGACAAGTAAAAGAGCTTTGTTATTACTCCAACTGGGTAAATTTAACACAACAAAGAAAGGCTTTCATTCGGTTGCTTATTTTTTCAAGTTATAAAAAAACTAGAAGAGCATCAAGTGAAAAAAATATTAAGTACTCCGCTTTATGTGGTTGGCCCTTCTACAAAGTTAGCTGCGGAGAAGCTATTCTTCATAGGTTGGGCAACCATGGGCCCCTTCTTAGGCGTACCAGTACCTTCTTACTTTAGATTGCCGCGGAGGACACTCACACAATGCTCAAGCACTGGCGGAATATATACTATCTTCCTCCTCGTACGCGCCCCTTTATTTACAACGCTCATTTCTTTCTTACCTTTGCACTAGAGCCACATCTTCACCTTTTTTATATCTCTGTGGCAACAATCACTTGCGAACTGTTTCCGTTAAGTTTGCTTCAAAAGGTTATCTGCTAGAGGAGATTATTAGGTAGTTATTTTTTATTCAACTTTTTAACGGTGTGATCAACTTTTTTAGTTATAAGATAACGGAGAACGAGGGTTTTAAGGAAAAACTAAAGGCTTTATTGGTGCAAGAAGCTATAAGCCATATTGTATTTTTCAGCCCGTCTGCTGTTTCCTTTTCGCTTCCAGTGCTACTGGCATGCTTACTACATAAACTCTATACTCCCATGCTTAGAGCTCTTCACTAGCAATTCATTGGTAAGGGCGTAAGAGTTGGTGCTATTGGAAAGACCACCTCCAGTTCATTAGCTGACGTAAATATTTTTTTTACAAATTTCTAGAAAATTTGAGATTTGTATACTTTTTTTAGGCTAACGTACGCGTTGACTTTGAAGCTCAAGCGCCTCAGCCTACTGCACTCTTTAACTCCATCAAGTCACACCTTTGGCCTGAATAGATTTAATTACAATATTTTTTCGTCACTCTACCTTTATAAAAAATTTTAAATAGTATATTTATCGTATGAGAAGCCGAACTTTATTAAAGCAAATAAAAGAAGTTACCACAAAAATCAAGAGACATAAGTATAGCGTCCCACTTTTAAATTTTTTACTTAAAAGGGGTTATTTAGCAATATTTATAGATTTTTATTTACTGTTGTTCAGCTAAATAGAGAAGTCGGATGATTACACGGACCACGAAAAGACAATAGCTACACAACAAAAAATAACCAGAAATGTGACCTAAGAGCTAAAGCATATTCAGAAAAACTAGACCAAAACTCATTTTTTTAGCACTAGCAAACTACGGCCGGTTTTTAAAAGACCGAAATTCGTTTAAACTGTATCTTCTTTCCAACAAGGTTTAAACACGAAGACTACCAATATACTTCCCAAAAAAATCTGAGAACAGAGAATTATAAGGCCTGTACTTCTGTCATTTGGCTGTGTGGCGCAAACCGCTAGAAACCCGTCCCCGAACGATGGCGGTCACAAATATTAACTCCCATCTACGACCCGGTCAAAATGTTTGTTAAGCTTACTTGCAGGACCATATGCTCTTATAAAAAAGGCGACCTCATCTTCAGTTTTTGCAGCCTACAAAGCTTCTATTAGTGTAAAGTAAAGAGACACAAGCAGTGTCTGTTAAGGAGCGCTGTTAACAAAAGAAGAGCTACGATGATTATTCAATTAAAATTAAAATATGCGCACACAAAGGAATATATTAATTTATATTAATTTATTTATGTCGCTGTATGTATATAATTAAAAACGACTTATACCAAAAAAAACAAACAACAGCTTTTTTATACCAAATAAATGTGATATGCTTTAATTTTTTGGAATCGAGCATTAAAACTAGTGTTATTTAGACTACTATTTAGTAAAACGCATGTAAAAAACTCTTGGCGCGTAGTAGCCAGACTTTATACTTAACATATATTAACTTTTAAATATTTTTCGCAATATATACTTTTTGTAAATCTAAAAAAATGCTTTTAAATTAAATTATTAGGTTTTATCCTAACTTATACTAATCAAGGCATTAAGGCAACCTGTGAGTAAGACAAAATGCATGACGTAAAATATTAACCCTTAAGGTGAATTTTTTTTAACTATTGAGTAAAACAAGTTTCTTAGTAGGAAAGCGGTGAAGCACTTTCAGTTTTTAATTCAATACTTGCTTACTATCAGAGACATCCATTGTGCAGCAAATTCCTTAGTTTTTGACGTGCTCTACTTCTACCTGCTTTAATAGCTGTTATATTTAAGTACGCTTTGTAATCAAACTTAATTTTTATTTCATAAATAATAGCTTATAGAAATGGATGGGATGTATTTATATAAAAACTACCAAGTTTTAGCTTTTATACGATAACGTTTCAATTTAATTACTTACTATAAGATAAGCAACTTAAGTTCCTTAGTTTAAAGGTCTTCTTACTAAAAAAATAATTTCAAATTTTCCAGTAAATCAGCTGAAGTTGTTGGATTTTTACAAATGAATATTTTACTTCATGACATTGATACGCCTACTGCTTCCCCTATCTATTCGGTAGAAGCGCACAAAATTTATTGCAACACGTAGAAAGATTTACGAACATACAGTTTTTAATAAAGCAATAAAAAAGCAATATTTTCGGCGAATATCCATTAGCAAATAGTGTTACATCTAATTTCTATTAAGATAGTCCATTTACAGTACGCAGGGAAGGCCAATCCTTGCGCCTGCGACCACAAGATTTAAAAATTTTTAACACGAAATATAGTTTTGGGCAAAATAACTTAAAATTCTGTCTTATTAACAACAGCAAGACTATTCTAGAACTTTGCAATTTTTTTTTAATAATTCATGCAGATGGTCGGAAAAGTCGAGCGCAGACTGCTTAGTTTTACTAATAACTTGAACTATTAAGCTAGACCACTAGTCGTATCATTTTTATTATTTTATATAACATCCATATATGTGTACTTAGAAAAAAATTAATTTGCAGTTTCTTTACTTTGTGCTCTTATTCTTTTCCCTATTTATAGTTTTGGAGGTTCCACTCTATGAAGCCAAAAGAGTCGAATAGTTAAAGTCAGAAAAAATTATGTTGATATCATTTAACTTTTAATACTTCGTTTAATTATAAAATAAATAAGTTGCAAGAATCAAGTATAGTTATGGTAATTAAGATTACAGCTAACAACGGTAATAAGTAAGAGGGGGCTTCACCAAAATTAAAAAATGATTAAAAAGGGCAAAAACTTTCGTAATTGGTGGATCATGTCAAAGTGTATATTAAACCTGAGAAAAGACAATGAATGACCCCTTAATCTCTTCGTTAACGATAAACGGAAGGAGGCATTAGCCGAGGTGAAAGCCTCTTCTACATAAGGCGTGTTAGCAAGGGAAAGGAGGAAACTGAAAAGATTGACCTTTTCATAGATGGAGTGGAGCTCTTATGGGAAAGAGGCATTAAATAGAAAACTACCCGCTATTGAACTAACACTGGGAAGAGAATTTCTTGAATACAAACTCAATCATGATTAATATATTATATAGTCTGAGGATGAATTTAACAATGAGTTTCCTAATTAGGAACCCCACCAGGACATAAAATGCGTTTAATGAATAGTCTGACTGCCTATTAGCGAACAACAGAGAACTTAGAAATAATGCGTAAAGATGTGTATTAGGTCAAGCTTTGAGGTTTAAGGCATTGATTAAACTCACTGTGGCTTAGCAGGTCACGGGCTAAATCACAGGAAGGGAAACAAGTAAAGTACAAAAACCTTTGAGTGTACTGTTCATGAAAAACGTAAGTATTGTCCATACATATAGAGCCCACGTATTAGACACGACCATTGGTTTTACGGAAACTTCAGCACCAAAGTTCGCTGCAGATGTTACGGATGAGGAAAGGCCAGTCGTATGAAAAAAGCACGCTGACTTAAAGACCAAGATTGTTTTAAAAGAGTAAAAATTGGACACGTCGGAAAATATTACCGCACTAGAGCAAATGATACTTGTACTTAAAAGTGTAACTTGAATGGGGAGAGTTTTTTCCTTTACACCTCCTAGGCAAAGTCTTGATAACAAGTAGCATAGATAGCAGAGTTTGTCATCGATAAAAGTGAAGATAGTGTTATCCACAAATATACTAATGCTAGCTTACTAGAAATCCAGTTTTAATATAAAATTTAGGTGTTTTTTGGTAGCTTACAAACTTTAATAGTATTTTATGCACTTAACTATGCTAATTATGCCTATATACAATCTTTAAGTTAACCATGGTAACCAGTTATAGTAGTGCCACCCTCAAACACTGCCAACTTTTTTTTAAAGTTATACCAACGTAAATGAAACCTCTGGATCATTAAATATAAACTTTTTTCTTATAAAATACTAAACCACGCACATTAGAATGGACAATATGTACTTTAAGCTCAGTTTATCCGGGTAGTTATATACGAAGCGGCTGTAACATAATCTACTATTTTAAGTATTTAAGTAGCTTACTTATAGGAGCTCTCTATTTTCGTGGATCTCACTTTTTCTTAAAAAGTATATCGAGTTATAATAACCTGAAACCGCTCTTCAGAGGCTTAGGCTAACACTTTACTTTTCATCCGCAGTTAAGTAAATTAGATAAAAAATCTACGGTATTTTTTTTTGGTTAGCCGCATTCTTCTCTTTTCTCGGTTAGAATTAATATATTTCTTTTTATTCAAAGTGACTAGCTCCGCTAATAAATTAAAAATTTTTTATTAAATTGCAACCCAGGTAAATTTTTTATTTTAAGTCAGATACGGCTTGTAGACTTTCTTCACAAAAGTTGATAGTAAATACCAGTTATAAATTATAGGCACAACCTTATGGGAAGCTTTTATGTAAAACTGCATTTGGGCATCGTTATGGCATAAACTTTGAAATATATAACGAAATGATAAACCTGGTATTTACATTAAACAAACTTTTAACTTTAGTGTTATTTCTGATTAACTTTCGCTAAGTTCTTTGGCTCAAACTATAGCACCTCTTACCTAACAGCTAGAGAAGAAATAGGCATAATCAATATTATTTATCAAAATTTTTTCGCATAACAACTTTAAAGCTCTTTATTCATCGGACAAGCCCGTAGGCACAATTATTATACACTTCTTTTTTGTTTGCATTTTATTTCATTTTAGGTTTTTCTGTCTCTACTTTAACGAACCATTTACTTTCATAATCATGAGTAGATTTCTTTTAACGTTAATTGGTCTTCATTAGTTTTTTAAGCTTTAGACGTCCTTAGCTAACAATTGTTTTAAAGTTAGCGATCCTATGAGTTCCGTAGTTGGTGGTAAACTTATAACGAGAGTTATTTTTATAGATTAGTTGGTTACAAGGCCAATGTGAAATAACGTAATGCCCTTTCTGTAGTTATATAGATATCTTGCAGAGTCAATAGAATGATCTAATTGTTAATAAAACCTATATTATTTGAAAAGATTACAATTAAATACGAAAAAATTAGCTTTGCACGAGAAAATCCTAATTGTGAAGGAAAACCCTTAAATAGGAAAATTGTTTGATTTCCTGAATTAGAATGTAATATATCTTAAAAAGTCACTTATTAGTTTACTTTGTACAATGAGTTATGTCCCTGAACTTGACGATGATCGGTTTCCAACAATAGCTAGTAGTAAAAAGAGTATATGGTCCCTAGATGACAAGGGGCCGTTACCAGAGCCAAAAGATACTTCCCCTTTAAAAAGACTAGGCGCTGCTCTCTTACATACTTTTAAAAGGGATAAAGCCACAGAGAAAACCGCACAGCTTTTTACAACAGCTCTTTATAGGCTGAGTACAGGTCACCTTACGCATAATATCATTGAAATACATAGTTAATAACTCGCTGGTGTGTTTGTATACCCGAAAATTCATTACCTTAGTTTTTCTTTGGGTTTTTAATAAATAAATTTTTGCCGTCTCTTTTATAATTAACTTTTTCATCATTACAGATTACAAAGTATGTGTAGCTTCAGAATACTCAGATATCAAAATTTATATATCCCCTGAAGAAAAAACTTCTTTGTTTCGCTATAATAATGAAAATAACGAGATAACGCCAGGAGTATGGTTAAGTTTGTATGAAGGTTACGGGGAAGAGTGGATTACCAAATATTTAAGCAAAAAAATGCATCTAGTTTTTAAGGAAAACTTAAAAAAATTACCTTACGATTACTTGGCCTCGTTAGAGTCCACTTTTCACACTGCCAACCAAGCGGTTTTAGATATTCTCAAGAGAAAACATCTGCAGTTCGCTGCGGAGGCGCTATGCTGTTGGCTTCAAGAAGACGTAGTATACGTGGCAAATTGTGGAGGCTCTAAAGCTATTATGATTTCGCCCTCTGCGAATGAGTGGTTGGAATTACATTCTAAGCGACATAGCGTGCATGACTTCACCGAGAAGGAGAGAATTGTCAAGGCTGGTGGGCGTGTATCTAACGGGTTAATTAATGGTTTATGGACCAGTTCCAGATTTTTAGGGAGCTCACAACCAGGCAAGATCACTATGCTTCTAAATTATAACCGCAGCTTACACTTTTTCACCATTATTTTAGGGATTATATGTGCACCTGACCTGGCGCAAAAGACTATATCAAAGGATAACGTTTGCATTATTTTACTGACCTCAAAGGAGATCTCCATACGCTTGTCTACACAAAAACTTGTTAGGCAAATAGCTAGAGCCTATTGTTTAAATGAACAATGTAACGCAAATTTTATTGTTTCACAAATTATGCAACTAGTCGATACTACCAGAGTTAAAAATTTTTACAATGCAGGCGTCATTGTCGCTATTATACGGCCCAAATCTATCGTATTTCTCTAAAATTAATATATATTAAGTTTATTGAAATAAACTTACTTTAAACAATAATTTATATATTTTTTTTAAAAATAATTATAGTTGAACAACCTTTTTAGTCAACCCCCTATTATGTTTCTTTATGGGATTCAATATTTTATAAAGCAGCAGAGTCTTCACTTTTTTTAAGAAATTTAGTCCAATAATGTTTTGCAATAGTGTCCAGCATTAGCAATTTAGAATATTATCCTTTTGGACTTTAACTTGTTATTACTCTATATTATAAATTTTCGACTTTTAATCAGAACGAAAGGAACTGTATTTGCTTTCTGCTACCACCAAGGATCAAGATGATTAATAAAAAGCTAAAAAATTAATTATGGCACTCCTTCAATGGAGTTGAACGTAAGACGATTTAATAAATTTTGCTGTAAACACTAAACAAAGAAGACAATTTTTTATCACAGGACCGAAAAGACAAGAAATTTTTTAGATGTATAATGCAATAAACCACTGTGGTAATAAAACAAAAAGGGGTGCATATATATACTTTCTCGTTTGCATTCCACATAAAATAGCTAATAACAATAAAAAAATTGAGAACTTGTTCACTAATTTAAATGAGTTCTAACTATAAATTATTCTCTTTAAGTGCAAAAGTTCCAGAAGGGCCCTCAACTTTCCCCTTTACAAGCTAAAAAACTTGGACAACAACGCAAGCTACTGACGTAGAAGTCGTAAGACTTGAAATCAACTAAAAGCTATTCTCCAATTATTCAAACAAACAGAATAAATCTTAGTTAAAGCTGCTGTTAGCAATATTCTAATACAAGACATATGGTGGAAACACCACAATTCGAGTTACGAAAAGATTCAAAAGTGCTATTTATAGAATATTTATGCGCATGAAAAATCATGTAAAGGAGAAATGATCCTTTCGTTTCTCGATGCTTTTTTTCGGAGTCCTGTGAGAGCATTTTTATCTTTCACATCTTCGTATTATCACTTCTTAGTAGCGAGGAACGTGCAATGCATCCTTCAATGACTTCGATCAAAGCGAGGTTGGTGCCAGTTATCCTTTAAAGACCGTTTGGTAGCTGTGCAGGTCGGCTACTTAATGGGTAGACTAGGTACATTTCTTACGTGTACCTTAGACTGTCAGTTATATCTTGAGACTTTCGTCATTTGAAGGTACATTCTTCCTAAGAGTGTGAGGATTGCCTTTTGTCCCTAGCCTCAGCGTCGTACAAGCGCTGTAACTGACAAGCCTATATATAAAACTTGTGTTCAACTCGTACGGTAGTCCTTTAAGCTTTCCATGGTGTGGACCTGAGTTTGGTAAAAAGGTCGACATCCTAACGTGGAACATCGTGCGAACGGAAACATATAATTTATGGGTCATTTAACCCTCTATTTTCCGAAGGGATCGACTTGAACGTTACTCTCTAATCAAACAAAGGAAACTTTAACTTTATTTTGACACTAACGGCTAATTAACTGTGAAACCCTTGGAATGTGATTATGATACCTTCCTTCAGATTGCTCTGGGCTGTTGCACGTTGCGCTACGCACGGCTGGAAACACTTGCTCTTAAAAATGTTAAAAACTACGAGGTGGATAGAGCCTTGAAGCAGATTCTATATTACCTGTATCCATGGATGCTTGAAACTTGATGTTCGCAAACACTTATAGACTAACTAAACTTGTTGCATTCTTGAATGACTCTAAGAGACTTTAAACTAAAAGGCTAATTAACCTTGATATTTTGAAGCTTCCATTGAATACTAGCATCCCCTGTAGATGTTATCTTTACTGTAGGTAACTATACAGGTCATGCTGAACCTTGAATGATAAATTTGGTAAAACATGCTAAGTTCTATACGAGTACTTCTCCTTAGTAGCGAATAGTTGCGAACGAAAGCGTTTGGAGAATGGCCTGTAGAAAGGGTGGTGTTTAAAATAGTATTACGATTGTTCCAAATCAGCAATGAAGTCAGCTAATTAACCGATGGGATTGTATCTAATCACACTATCTTGTGTGGTAAAATACACCGTTTTGATGGTTGGTTAGAATAGTGCTATTTACTAGTATATATATAACCGCGGCCGCCGGCGAATATGCAATTTTAAAATTTTACTAATGTAATGTTAAGTTTAATTAGTTTTATGTAGGGTTGGGTGGGCGCCTAATAAATTCTTTTAATCGCGGTTAATATGTAAGGAGGTCAAGAAAGGTATAAACCTTTACTTAAAGAGAATTACAGATTAACCTAGTAGGATTCTCCAAAATGTACTTTAATAATTTGTAATAACGACATAATATCAATTTTGCCATCCTATTAGATAAGATATTTTTTTTTCGTTACACGGACAACTATATTATCTCTTTGTCCCTATTATGCAGAATTTAAAAATTATGCAGATTTTATATAATGTTACACTTAAATCATACTATTAATATATATTGTTTGGAGATATTACGCTTCTAATAGCCATGCAATTTCCTGGAAATTTAGATCATATATATATGGGACCGGTTTATAAATTTATTATTTCATAGTTTTATATTGCCAAGTTAGGGTTATTTAACGAGTACTCTGATCTTCAAATAGAGTTAAACGCTGATATTAGATGTAACACACAGTACTGATACAATCTATTTTTAAATAATTACCCTCCACTGTATTAAGTGTAATGGTTTAAAAGTTCAGTAATTATATTATTAGGTTTAATACCTTAATAAATGATTCCCTCCCCCCTTCCCCAGTCGCCCGTATGTTAAGGCATATATATCTAGTTTTATCGTGAGACGGCAAAGCGTGAATACTTCTCAGTTTTTGGTCTTAAAGATTATAGGGGGAATTTTCAATATAAGTAATTTTTATTCGTTTTTAGCAGACAAACTCTCCCATTCTCTTATTTCACTTACTGTAAGTCGAATGCGTTCCAGAGTATCATTAACGAAAGAATCTTTTTCAGCTAAAACGTGCACAACTTTATAATCCGGAAATATTTTCATCCCTAAATGATAGGTAAATATTAGTAAAATAACTTTACGTTATAGGGCAATTTTTACATCCTCGCGTACAAAAGTCAGCTCACCAGAAAAATAGTTTACCGCGCTGGTCGTCCCTTTGCTTTGAAATAAGAGCCGACTCTCCGATTTTTTTTAGCATATCTTTATAGTGATGGAGCAGCTGAAATGGAGAGGCCATCTCAACTTCCGGAAACTCCTTAATAACGCTGACTTATAAGCAACTAATAAATGTATATAACAAACAAAATTGCGGCCTACTTTAATAATAACGCTGCGTTGGTGCATCCAGACGGGATCCGCCAGGTCCTCTTCGAGACTGGTTGCCTTAGGAAACCCTAACAAGTGAATTACCTAATGGTTTTTTAGCTAAGTTTTATAAAAAAAGGAGCACCTAGTTTTTTAATACGGAAATACAATCCTTGGAGAGCGTAAAAGCGAAGATAAAAGGTGTATACTTCGATGCCCTGCTTTCGGTTTATTTCCTAAACACACACCGTTAAGGCTCTAATTAACAGGGTTGGGGTCTTAAATACCGTCAAGTAGTTTTTTCCGATACCAGCTATATCCCCTTCGAGGAAAACCGGGAAATTTTTGTTGCCCCTAGGCTGCATAAGGGCGGCTCTAGCCTTCTCCAGCATCCCAGCGATAATTGGGCGAAATATAGTGGTATCAAAAATGTTTCGTCGAGCCTTTTAAATATAATCACATGCACTTAATTAATGAGGGGAGACTGCTCTGACTTTATTTCTCTCCTGAAATTTCCTCTCATTCCTTAAGACAGCATATATATTTTCTTTCAAGACCCATCCAGGAATAATCTCGTTTAATGCGGGGCTCACGTCTTCATTTGTCAACTTAGAAAACAACAATAAGCTAACCATAAACCTTATGAGACTACCTGAAAGAAAAGTGCTTGGAGAGTTAATAAGCGAAAAAGGCATTGCAACTCGTTGAGGAAGTGTGCAGACGCCAGAAGCAATTACAGAGTAGGGCGCCTCGCTCATGTTCGTTGGGTATTTAATACTGCAACCAAGCCCGTAAAAGACTCCTAAGTGAAGGCTTAGCACATCCTATGCTACATTCTAAACGATTATGAAAAGCTAACCCTCACCAGGCCATATCTCCTGGTCGGGCGCCTTCGACGTGTGGTTGGACCCCACGTTTGCTCCGTAACCCACGTTCCCTTTACCTTCCGGCCATAAAGCAGCAATGAGGAGCGCTTGGTGATGGAATCCCACAAACGGACCCAAAAGGGAAGAGGTGCACTCCACAGGTAGAAAATTTAATACTCCTCAGTAGTTTACTAGTTCAAGGTTTAGCAACCTCGCCCCCAGAAACACCGCTGTTTGGTGCCACAACAGAGTGACTGACTTTGGCATGGCTTTTTGCATAAGAATGTTCGCAAAGGAGGCTTGTACTAACGACAGCCATTGTTTCAACCGAACAGCCCCATTGAATAATCTTTAATAATAAAAAAATACATTCGAAAGAAATTTAAAAAGAGGGTGTTACAGAAGAATCAACGTAAGCCCCGCTTGTCACATGGACGGAATCCTCCAAGGAAGAAAGAAGTGTCGAGTTGTGTATTGACGTCACAGCATCGATAAGTGCGTAGTCACCAATATAAGACTATATATATAAAAACCTTGTTTCTTTAAATATAAGATAAAGAATTTTACCGCGACTTTAGAATATCCATTGTATATAAAAAAAAGATCTACAAAACTTAGCAGGAATAGAGGGAGGACTTACATCCGTTACTTTATGAGTATTTAGAATTCGTGTGCCTTGCCGAATAACCGACAAAGGAAATTCAGAGCACTGTTTATAAGTTTGAACCGCTTCCTCATATCTCTAAGAAAATATTTTAAACATATTTTTATGCTTTGTTGCTTTATAAAACTGTTTGTGGGCACCCGGTAGAGAATTGAAGTTATGTCTTATACCTGAACTAATTCCAACTTATCTCTATTTTTAGCCACGACAGTAGCGGTTTCAAAGAGCATCTCTGCAAAAATTTTTGTATCTCGTCCTCCAACTTCGGGACCGAGTTTAAGATTTTGGCCGTTCCCAAAACTGGTAGTACTGGAGCAAGAAATTTCATCGCACCCACGCAGCACTACACACTAGTAGATAACAAACTTATTAACGTCATAACAACATAAGAAATTATGATAATATAGGATAAAAGTATTTATATAGACCACTACATACTTCATCCACAAAAACTTTAGAAACACAGCCACAGTTTAAAATTAGTGAAGCTTTGGACACAAAAACATTTCGTAAGTAACTATTAAAGATTCCACACTTATTTGTAGTTATTAAACATGTATTATCATTTGATTCTATATTGCTGTTGTGGCGTAAGTATGATTCATCCACTATAATAAGACCATCAAAATGGTTTCCGTGTATTAACCGGGTAAATTTTAACTCATCCTTATTAATAGAGTTCTTCTTACTTTGATAAACTATGAAATTATTCCAATTATCACAATAGTTATTAGAAACTTCTAGACTCTTTATTTCACTAGCTGTTAAATGGCGATACTGAGAAGGTAGGTTGTTAAATCTACCAGATAAGTGATCTAGCATAAACAAAATAGTTTGTTTAAGCTCATTTAAAGTTGTCAAAAATGGGCTTCTTTCCAGCGTAAATAACTCTTTTTGTATAAAATTCGAAACACTTCCTGCCATGTATTTTAATACTTTAACCAATAGATAAAAAACCAAGATAAAACACGGAAAGCAGTAGACCGATTTTGAGATGAAGCAATAGAGATCACAGTTTATTTAAAGTGGCTCTTCAACCAAAAGATGGTCCTTTACACCAATCACAATGCAAGAAGAACAAAGAAATAGTACTGCAGTTTTCTTCATTAAAGCCCAACTAAGGTGACTTACATTACTACATTTAAATTTTAGATTTTCGAGAATTAATATCTACTAATTTTTAAATATTGATATATATAGTTTTATTTTTCTTCATTAGTTTTTGCGTTATCTATGTTCATTCATCATTCTATTAATAATTATAGTGTTTTATTTATAAATATTTTTTAAATAAAAGTTCAAGTCTTAAAATGTTGAAAACCCTGTGTAAAGAAATAAGAATTACTTAAAGGGTAAATACAGTATAGTAAGTGATTTTTATAACCTTGTTACCGGCTATAAAAGCTAAAGGTATTGTCTTAGGTAAATGGACTTGGTATTTCCTTATAGAAACTAAGTATATTTAGATTAAATTTTGCTTAAGAATAGTGATGCGACAGCGATAGCGTAAAGCTAATTTTTTAATAAAAGGGATTGGGCCACGAATGTCTATAAATATATTATTTCACGTTAGTATAGTGACTGTAACTAAAAGGGGTTAAATTAGGTTTAGATCTAACAAGATGTAAACGTAATTTATAAGCCAGAGTGTGAGTTGTCACGGTAGCTCAGTGGTCATTTGATATACAAGATTAATGACGCGGTTCGATCCCCATCGGTGCAGTTCACAATGTACTCATGGTAGTTACGTAAATCTTCTTTAAAAACCAATTTTGATTTACCACTCATTCCATCCGGCCTAGTGTGACGAAAAATCGCTTTTAAAAAAAAAAAAATCAAACAACCTGAAGAGTCGAGTCCCTTATCGAGGACTTTCTGATGGCTAGGTACGTCTAAAGCTCAAAAACGCTAATATAATACGAAACAATTAGAGCTTAGGACTGGAATTAGTTTGGTATTAGGCCATGTTATAAATTAAGATGGTTGAGACGCACGTAAAGGAAGTCATGCTCGTAGAAGTAGAAACTCAAAGGAATATGAAATGGATTGTAAAAAAAGCAAACACACGTATATAGTATTTGTCGTGCTTGTCAGGGACAGAATACTTTCGAGTGTAATGCAAAAACAACTCAATATAAGATGTTAATTACGTCTACTTCCTTTTACTTGTTATTTAATGGCGGTAAATGAAAAAAATTAGGCGAAAGGGCAGTCAAAAATATTATAGCCCAACATAGCTAAATTCACGGAACTTTTTCCGCTTTGTCCACCAGTGTTTCTCTTTAAACAATAAAAATAGTTTGTGAGGTGGCAAAACACCAAACTTTACAAATTAACAAAAAAAAATTAAAATTTTTGTTCGTTTTTTCGCTAGTGTACACATGGTCCTTAATCGGTATGTATAAGAAGGTCATCCCAGAAGTTCAAAACGATCAATATCCATTTTCGAAAATAATATAAATACCCTACAGAATAAAGAAGGGTAATCGTTTATGTAAAGGTATTAAGGCCAAGTTGATAGTAAAAAAAAAAACATTTGTGTATTTAAAGATTTAATGATACGCTTAAAGCTTACTTTCAACGATATTTATCTAGATAGCTTTTTTCGTCTAAATGTTTTTGTTAATGAACACATAAAGGTCATGATGTCTCGAAGATGAATAAAAAGCCTAGAGATATTAAGGAGGGAGTTTTAGAAGCTGTAAAGATAATGTCTGCCAGCCTAAAAAGAGTTAGATGACAGAATGTATATTGGTTGCTTTGTATGTGTGGTGTTGATCCCATAACAAAATTTTATAAAAGTTCTTCTAAACAGTACAAAAACTGTGCTGCCTTAATAGGTTTCGGCAAAATCATCCTGCCAAAATAGAATGTTAAGCGCATATACTGACTTACTTGCGGAGGACAATCGTATGTAAAATATCGTCAAACTTTTGGGCTAATAGTAGCTTCCTCAGTCAATGTTCTATGTAATAAAAAAAATTAAACTCACAGTAGAGCCGAAGATTTTCTTCAAACTTTTAATTTATACCAACAAAAGGTGACCTAGTTTAAGTTGGAAGTTTCACAGAAATAAGTTAATATTGGTGTTGCAACTACTAAAGAAAATAAGATCTTGCAACCTAAGAATTTTGCTTTTCTCATAAAAATTCCGTTATAATGGGAATAATATGAGTTTTAACATTCAACTTGATAAGTCATGATAACTTACTGCTTGGCTGTTCCATTATCTCATGACAAAATGGTAATTTTAAATTTGTTGGAACTATAAAGTATTGATTACTTGTAAAAAGTCCTTTTGAAGTTTGCTAAATTTATTTAACAAAATAAATGGCTTTTTTCTATAAAGAGATAAGGACTCTTGTTATTACTTGTGAAACAAAACAATTGTGGCTACAAGGTTCGTATCCCCATAAATTACGTAAATGAGTACGTAACGATAGAAGCAAAGTGACTATAATACTTATTTACTCTTCGGATTAAATTGGTTCGAAAGCTGTGGATTACATAAATCAAAAACATTAAACTTTTAAAAGAAGTGCTAGGTATCGTCTCAAGTTCTTCTCAAGAACAACCTTAAAAGGGACATTTGGCACACTAACAACACACCATCAACAAAAAAGGAACAAAGAGAAAGGGAGTTATTTCATTATGGGCAATCAAGCTGTAAATATATCTTTACAAAAGATTGAGGGAGCATTACCATTATGTATGTTTGTTTAGGTTAAATTTAAGATGCTTGAATAAACATGTTTAATTTGGTTTCCGTTTAAAAGATGTCAGAGTTGATAAGTACCATAGTTGTATATAATAAATATTTGGTTTACATAGCCCCTGCCAAATGTTTAAAATCGCGTTTACTTTAAAAATATTAGTTTTTTATGATGTTTCTAATTTGTTTAGTTTTGTAGTGTATCTGTAGGTTGCTTGCGTATATTTCATGATATTCACCGAAGTATTAAAAGGCGCAATACACTTCACTTTAGATATATTAAATTGCAACTTTCACTCACTAAAATGTCATGGGAGGATATATACAGAGGTTATACAAATGCATGCTATATTTCGATGCGATGAAAGATGACACCTGTCGTTATGATCTCGCAGGCACCGTGACTAGCATTTGCGCCAATCAAAATGAGGGTTAATCAGCCACTTGTTATTTCTTGGTAAAGCAGCTGAAGCATCCACACTGCACCACTTAAAACCGTTCATTAACGCAAGTAATGCTTTGCCAGAGTTCCATTTAGGATTTCGAAAAAAAAGGACATTCTACGACGCAACACTCATTTGCATGACAAAATGGACGCCCGCGTCCCTAGTTTCAATTTTCAATAGCCGGGTGTCTTTTTAAATGTCGAAAAAGCTTTTGATCGAGTTTGGCACAAGGGCATACGTAATAAATTGCGCACCGTAGTTCTCCTTCTTGTTCTTTCTAAAGTAATTAAATCCTCTTAAGGACAGCAATTTTGGTACTTGTGTAAGCTTTGCGCATTAGCCCTAAAACTATTAACAGCTGGTGGTCCCCACGGATTTCTTCTGCCACCCCTATTCTTTGCACTTAATGTGCGCGACGTGCCCCAGCCTGACAACTCTTACAAACGAAGTGCTTTTATGCGGATGATACGTCGATTTACTTCTCGACAAAACCGCCTGTCTTATTGCGCCAGTTACAATACTTCCTAGGGACACTTGCCAGCATGTGTTATCGTCATTGGAAAATTACTATAAATGTAGAAAAGCCCAGGGTCCCTTTTTCTAACGAAGAAGCGCACTTTTTCCCCACCGCCGCTGGTCTCCGCAGATAAGTTAACACCTTGGTGTCCCCAATTGAAATACCTGAAAGTCATCATTGACAATAAGCTCTAACGGTGGCAGGTACTCTATATCGCGGTGAAGGTCAAGACCAGAGGTTAAACCCTTTACCTTTTTTATGCCCGAAGCAAACCCTCTTTGCACAACAGACGACGCTTATATGTGTTGCATATCCGTCTACTGCCTGGGTGTAACCTCTTACCGGCATCAGTCTCTACACTGTAAGTAAGATAAAACAAGCTGCTACGTCATTTAACGGGTGGCCTTACCATCAAGTCTTCTGAATGGTATACCTGACTACCATTTTTCCACGCAATGCTTATAACATTAATAAATGGCTTAAGCTAGAACCTAATGTTATGCTACCGCTATGTAGTGTTATTAAATATGGTGTTTTTTGACTCGATAGAATACCAGAACCTATATAACCTTTCAAGTTACGCGCTACAACTTTTATACCGTAAATCTCAAGTTAACTAGGAATAATTTTTAAAGATACTTTTATCAGTATACCTTAGGGAAAACATATAAAAACTAAAATCTTACAACCCTTAATTTACTTTAGGTAATATTGATATGAATCTGTACAACGTCGAGGAGTAGTTGTAGTTGCTCACGCGTTAATGGTGGAAGAACAATTTTTTTTCGTGAACGGTAACCTCACCTTTTACTATCTTTTCTACACAAACTAAAAGGAAAAGGTTTTTTTTTCCCACAAATGTTCTGAACTAAAACTATTAATAAGCGGCGATGATTTCTTGACTCTGCTGAACCGAGTCTGCACAGGAGATATTGTAAGGCCTTCAGGGGACAATCTTCTTCCTTTATGTATACTTTTGCCTTGAAAGTCATAACGGAGTGGAAAGCTTTATAGAGTAAGAAGGGGCAAAGATCCCCAGACAGATATTTCTAGAAATCTATTT